GAAAGGTAAGGTTATAAAAGGGAATGGGACATGGACTTTCTAAATGATCTAGGGGCTAAAATGGCAAATAAGCCATGTATATGATTAGTTTGAATAGCCTAGGCAGAGGAAGAATTTTTATGACTGAGGAGGAGAAGAGCTGTAAAAAGCTTGAAGATGGGCATTAAAAGCCATAATACTTTGAGGCCATTCTGACCCAATCAATGTTTTGGTTTTTTTTTAAATTTATTTATTTGACAGAGAGAGACACAGCGAGAGAGGGAACACAAGCAGGGGGAGTGGGAGAGGGAGAAGCAGGCTCCTCACTGAGCAGGGAGCCTGATGCGGGGCTTGATCCCAGGACCCTGGGATCATGACACGAGCCGAAGGCAGACGCTTAATGACTGAGCCACCCAGGCGCCCCTGACCCAATGTTCTTAACTTGTATTCAGAAAGATCTGACTAACATAAATAAGTGCTTCAGAAGGGAAATTAGAAAGCAGTGTTTTAATATCATTTGGAGATAAGACTGAGGTTAAAGTAAATTATATACTAATAGCTTGTGTTTAGTGAATAAGACAGTGAATGATAATCTCAGTTTATTTTTTGCATTTAATTCCTTATAAATATTCTTTAGACCTAGTATATGGTAATATCATTTAACTGGCTATTTTGATAAGGAGTCAGAGCTCTGATAAAGAAAATGAAAATAAACAGAAAAGCCTATAAAATTACTTAATGTTTCTATCAGTCATTTTAGACTGGGATAAAACACTTCAATTTGGAAAGAGAAAGAACGGAAGGTGCGTAATAGTTTTGGTCTGTAGCAACCTTGAAATCCTGCGTGGTTGACACTGTGGGGATCCCATAGCCAGGGCATGTGGGATGTTCTTTGATTAGACCCGGATTTTGTTTTTTGAGAGGGGCCCACCTCCCAAGTACTCATGTGGTCCCTGGCTCCACCTCCCGGGAGTTTTCTCCCCCCCGCCCTCCCCAATAATCTCTGGCCGCATCTGAAATAGTGTTGTTTGGCGAATATACCTTCCTTGGGGCCTTACTTCCTGCTCCTAGATGGGTACAGGACTGAGAGCTGGTTTGTGACTAACTTTGAGAACTCTCAAAAACTTAGTGAACTTTTATCTAAGTTGGTTCTTTTCGTGGTATAATTCCCAGAACTCTCTATTTCTTTGCTTTTTCATTCCTGTAAGTCTCTCTCCCTCTCTTGATTTAGGGGTAGATTACTAGAACTATACCCTTACACTCTTTATTCTGAGTCCTTTTACCCAATTAAAAGCATTTACTAGATGCTTCATTTTGATTCTTGCCTGTAGGAAGTTTATTTGGTTGAAAGGTTTTACTCAGCATTTCTCCCTCAAAGGCTTTTTCAATCTATCCTTTGTTTTTGGAGGCTAGAAATAGTTGTTTCTTTTTTTTTTTTAAGGCTCTGAATTTCTGGACTCTTCATTCTCTTTCATTTTGTTTGTAAACTTGCCAACTCTTGTATTACCTTGTCAAATACAGACAATAGCATCTAACATACACAACTAACCTTCTGTTTTCCAATCTCTCCCTCCACTGCTCTTTTTATACCTCTAGGTTATCGTAGATAATAATTTTACTAAATGTTTTGCCATTGCATAACATGGGTCATCATTAATCTAGCCTACGGTTGCCCTGTCATCGCAGCTTGCTGCCTGGCCATTATTGATCATGCCACTATTTTAGCCTTTTGCTGTGGTGCTCCTCACTTCTAGGTATCAATTTCTTTCTTTCTTTCTTTCTTTTTTTTTTTTTTTTAAGATTTTATTTATTTATTTGACAGAGCGAGACACAGCGAGAGAGGGAGCACAAGCAGGGGAAGTGGGAGAAGGAGAAGCAGGCTTCCCACTGAGCAGGGAGCCCGATGCGGGGCTCATCCCAGGATCCTGGGATCATGACCTGAGAGCAGACGCTTAACGACTGAGCCACCCAGGCGCCCCTAGGCATCAATTTCTATACCCACACATATACTGCTAGATTATGACTGCATATCTTGATCAGATGTACCTTTTTTGAGGATAAAATCTCTCTGATGTAAACTAAATGTGTACATTTAACTATCAGTATCCCCACCCCTCTCATGCTATTATCTTATTGATTAATATATGCATATTTGCTTTCTTTCCCTAACTAGATTTTAAACTCATTAAGGTAGAGACCATAACTGTACAGTCTATTTCCTGTAAGAGTAGCCCCAAAAACACGTAGCATGGCTCCCAGCACATAGTAGGGCATAAAAAAATGTTGCTAACTTGAATGTTTGACCAGCTCTAATGTTTTACCACATGTGAGGCTATGTGTAACTCGTTCTTGGAACTACAGCATCTTCTGCCATCTTCTTCTGTGGGTTCTTGGACTTGTGTGTAGAGTGTTCTGGTGGTCAGGGAGTTGAATGACAGCTCCATGTGTATTACTGAGACTCCGAAAGGTGGTAACAGCTTGGATCATGGGTAGTACATGGGTAGTCATGAAGGGCTTCCACCATAACCAGCTGTGTGTTAATCATATATTCATTATTGTGTTCCTAGTATTGGCACATAATTTACAGTGTAAGAGGTGCTTACTAAATGTTAGATGAAATGATGATCTGGACCTGTTGATTCAGTTCGAACTTAGCAATAGCTGGTTACTAGTTTGACATCCTGATGAGGTACTTTTACCCTGATGAGGGAGAACTTTGTGACCGCTGAATGTAAAAAAGGTCAGTTTCCCTCTTACATAAAGGGTCATTTAATTCTCCTCTGCAGTGCAGCAAATACTCTTGTATTGAATCAGACATTCTTTGAAGATTTTATTTATTTATTTTAGAGAGAGACATCAAGAGCGTGAGTAGGAGAAGGGGCAGAGGGAGAGGGAGAGAAAATCTCAAGCAGACTTCATGCTGAGCACAGAGCTCGTCTCGGGGCTCAGTCTCATGATCCTGAGATCATGACCTGAGCTGAAATCAAGAGTCGGATGCTCAATTGACTGAGCCACCCAGGCACCCCGAATTAGGCACCCTTAATTCAGAGTGACTTGTTCCTTCTTTCAAGAGAGCTGGTGTAGTCTTCCATGCATTGAGATTTGGCTCTCAAATCTCAGTGGAGATGAGACTACTGAAGAAAGCGAGTGACTCAACCCACTCAATTTAATATGCTTTTAAGGATCTTTTACATATATTGCTTTGGTAGCATGACTGATAATTAGCAACTTTGAAAGCATGGCTCTTGATTTTATGTGCTAGCTTCCCTGAGTCTATGAAAGGACATCTCTGGCACGGCCTTAATTCTCTACACAGTGGGCTTAGGGGCTTCAGTCTGGCTGGAAGGGCTCAGCTAGGGCACTTGTCTTGAATCTGTATATGCATGGAAAATGTACAGTTTTAATTTAGGTTGTAGATTTGGGGATATATATTTAGAGAAGGAGGCTGGTAGAGATCACTGGTCAGGAGGAACTAAAGTTACCCTAAGTCCATGAAGCCCTCAGAAAACCCTCCTAAAACATACACACAAGTACTAAATAGATTAGATATGAGCACAGAGGGCACAGAGAAGGGAAAGATGCCTGAGGGGACTATTCAAGGAAGCCTTCTTATAGGAGTTAAACTTCTCATTGATCTGGAGGTATAGCGAAGAATCCACAGGCATGGGGAGGAGAAATATGGATGAAAGGCTCATGAGCACAGAAGCATTTCGATCAGTCTTGGAGGGGCTTCCAGTGAACCCAAGAGCTGCTTCCTTTTCATTTCCTTCATTTAAAGAAAATGGAGGAAAGTTGTTCAAACATGTTGTGATAGAGGAAAATAACTTACTTGCTAGAGTGTGCCCTGCCTTTTTAAAAGAACATGTGTAATTTTCCCTGATCTTACTGGAGACAAAAAAAAAAGTAACTTACTGTTATTTCAGAAATATCTGTGTATCCCTAGAATACATTAGCAGACATATAGTATGTGCTTAATAGATGCTTGTTGACTTAAATGGAACAGAGAAAAATTAACTTCCTTTAGGTCATTTAAAATTATGTTAGAGCATTTAAAGGCTCTACTTGCTAATTCATTTTTGTTAAAAAAAATTCTCAATCAGAGATGGCCAAGATAACGGTCAATTATATGCTTTATGAAAATGATTATCTATTAAGCATCAGTAGGATTTTAAGCATGGGGTTAAAATAGAATTTGTTCAGGGAGTCTATTAAACTACCTGGGGATATAATTCTGAATCTCTTACTGATGTCATTAATTTCTTTGGTTTTGTTTTCCCATTCATAAAATGGAGGTAAAGATAGTCCTGTTGTTGGGCGCCTGGGTGGCTCAGATGGTTAAGCGTCTGCCTTCAGCTCAGGTCATGATCCCAGGGTCCTGGGATCGAGTCCCACATCGGGCTCCCTGCTCCTTGGGAGCCTGCTTCTCTCTCTCTCTCTCTGTCTCTCATGAATAAATAAATAAAATCTTTAAAAAAAAAAAAAAAAGATAGTCCTGTTGTTTAACACCAAGGACCCTATCTATTTAACACCATTTAACCCTATTTAACACCAAGGATAACCTATCTCCCACTTAAATCATGGTTCATATCGCATGACTGGAAAGTAGAACATATGGTGCGTGACAAGAGTTGTTAGCCATTTGGGGAAGAACAAAAAGATCATGACAGCAATTTGTAATTTGGTTCATCTCTGTAGTAAATTAGTTAAGAATTTTGCCGTAATTTGAGGGCGGGGGGGGGTGGAAGAAAAGGAAGATTTGGTCCTTTTTCCGTCATCCCCTTTTAGGGTCCCTCTCTGATTCCCCTTCAGGAAGTGGAATAGAAAAAAAAAAAAAAAACTACATTCGTCAGTAACTCTGGGGTAACCACAACTAACACAGTAAGGAGGTCAGTTGAAATAAGGACAAGTGATTGCTATAAAACCGACAGGTACTCTCATTGACACAGCACAGGCGTATACAGGGTGACACACACACACAGGAGGAATTACTACACAAAGCAGGCAACCAGAGCAAAATGACAATGACCATCCTGCGCAACACGGCCATGGTGAGTAAAAATAATTCCTATTTCGTAGCCGTCATCCCTAGGATTTCAGGAGAGCAGATTTCTAAAGAATTAGGCCTGATTGGCGTCTTTATTGGTAATATTTCTTAAGGACAGACTGACTTTAATTTTGACCCCTGTCTGGTGGAGAAAAAGAACAAATAACTAGAAGTTATAATGGGGTGCAAAACATAGCTCCTCATATGGTGGCTTTTGCATAGGTAGTTGATAGCTTACTCAACTCTGGTGTCACAGACAGCTGGACATGATCTCCCCTGTGGCCACCATTATAGAGTTAGATCGGTCTAAAGCTCCTATCTCATCATGGGGACTTCCAGCCTTTTAGATAGTACACATGTATTTTCACCAAGGAAAGTGGGTCCTCAAAAGCTTTAATGATTCTCTTAAGACTACAAGTCGACAAAGAGTGCCCAGGGTGAAGGAAGTGAAACCACTCAGTATTGAACTTTGGATAGCTCCCAGAGGAGGGAAATTTGCTAGGTCTCAGATAGCTGATTATTTTTGCATTGTCTCATTCCTCACGGAGGAGGAGAGAGATGCTAGTATGATGGAAATCTACCTCTCCTGGGTCTAGAATCTTGCCTGGCATTATTCAGGTAAAGCCTGGGAAGAATATAATTAATGTAGAGGAGCTTGAAAACAGGGCTTGGGAAATTATACGCCATATTATTGGCTTAAATAAGCCCTCTTTTTTTTTTTCCTCCATTTACAAGTCATGTAACTTAAAAGAGCTTGGATTTCATAAAAGATCATGGCATATGGTGATGATAATACTATGTTATATTTATGTATTGTTTTAGAGAATACCAGAAATGCAGCAAAGTGCAGTAGTTAGGGAGCATAAGCTTTGGAGTCAGACAGATCTGGCTTCACTACTTACTAAATGTGGGGGATTTGGGGTAAATTACTTAGCTGCTCTGTGCATAATTATTCCCTTAACTGTATAGGGGAATAATAATGGCATTTCCCTCAGAGGTTTTCTTGGGGGATTAATTGATATCATTGAGAATGACTAAATCTGTCCTCTGAAATGGCTTAGTTTTTAGTTAAATTGGTCATTTTAATATATTAGCCAATAAGGATAGAGAAAGCATTCAATGTGTTAAATATTAATATTAGTAATATTATTATTTTTACCTCTGAAACTCTTGTCAGCCCAGGGAAGTAGATTGGGACTACTTTCTCCATCATACAGATGAAAAACAGCTCAATTAAGCCAAGTGATTTAACATCACTGGGTACTGTACACGTAAGAACTGGGATATGAATCTAGGTTGACCAACCTCAAGTACGGTATGGTTCTCCTTGAGTGGTTCAGAGGCAGGATCTGAATTTGAAGCCATTGTGTCTAAACAAAGCTGTCGGATAGCTTTGTGCCCCAAAGCCGTTTCTATTTCTGGTTTGTTTGAAGTAATCTGTTGGGCCATCTGCTAGAAACATGGTGGTTCGAAGGGCATTAGAATAGGATTAGAAGCTGGGAGGTACAGGCAGGTAAGACATATTCGGTAAGCAGTTGAGACAAATTCTTCTGTGCCTAGGAACTGGCCAGGCTCTGGAGCACATTCCTACCCAGGGGTGAGCACACGTCACAGAGACGTTCAGGAGACAAATGCTCAGATGGTCTCAGGTGAACTTGCAGTAGAGTTGGGCTGTCGATGTCCCGACAGTGCCCACCTTCACTGACGTGTTCTCCTGCCTCTGTTTCCGGTTGTACAGAGCAGGAGCGATACCTATTTATCTGCCTCAGAGGTGGCCTATAAGAATTCAAATCTATAAGATGCTCTGAACCTCTCAGAGAAGAAGTGCTGTGTATGTCATTCTTAAGAATCAGCAAGAGCCATATCAAAGCCTCTGGCCATAACCACTAACATCTACAGTTTCAGATCAAAAGCTCTGTGGAGCAAACTAGAGTGCTTTGCAGGCATCATCCGATTTCCTGGTAAAGAGCTCTGTGACCTCCAGTGCTCATGCAGTTCTGACACAGCTGCCACCTTGCTTACAATGCTTGGCTCCTCCTGTGGGACAAAGCTAAGATTAAACACCACGAGCGGCTATATACTGATAATAATAATGGACTTCAATAGCAACAGTACTGGCCACTGACACCTAGGTTTGAGTCCCCAGACTGGCACCCATAGGCTGGTGAACCCAACCAAGTTGTGTTGTTACTTTCCAGGCATGACTCGTTCACCGGTCCCATTGGGATAATTCATACTAGCTCTGCCTACCTCGTGAGGGAGTTGTGAGAATCCAGTATTCAAAGAGATGTGAAGGTGTGTTCTAACATACTCCAAGAATATAAGCAAATACAAGGATTTGTTAGAAGCACGGAAATGATTGCTGAATCATAGAACCCAAAAATGCAGTAACTTTAAAGCTTTGATGATGAAAGCTAGAAGTGACTCAGTGAATTTGATACCAAAGAGGAAAGAGGAAACACACAGGAGAAATTTCCTTAAGAAACCAAAGGAAGTGATTGGTAGGCTTGGGAAGCTAAGAACCCTCTGGTCTAAGTAGGCATCTTTTATCTTTTTCGAACTTATTTCATAGCACTTTGTCTAGACAGAAGATGCATGAGGGCAAATTCCACATCTTTCCTGGCCACTGCGCATCCTCAGACAGGTTGACCTACTGGCTGCCTATGTTGAATCCTTGCCCCGTGCTGACAGTGCTTTTCCTGCCTTATGTGGATCATATCATTTAATCTTTACATTTTCTGGCAGAAGAAATTGAATCACAGCCAGTCAGAGTCCTGAAACTGAGTTATGGACTCAGGACATCTGACTCTAGAGCATGTGTCCCGAGTCACCACATAAAGAGTCAAGAAAGAGTTGAATGAATGAATGATTGTAGTAGATGAAAGTGGACAAGTGCTGATTATCTGAAGGCAAATCAGCCTACTTCGGGCTTATCAGAGTCAATCTTGCTTTCAACTTCTTTTTAGTATCTGCTACCTTAGTACACGAAATTGGCACCGTGACCTTTCTGCGTCCTCTCGTCATTTCTTGCCTCCAGCATCTGCAAAATATAAAAAGGAGGTCCTTTAAGCAGACATGTCTAATCACCTCCCCTACCTTAGCCTGTGGAAGGTGTGAGCCTGAACAACACTGAACCCAGAGAATGAAAGCAACTCAGCTTCAGTTCCTGTTCTGCATTATGTTGAGAGTTGGTGATAGGCCTTGTCCATCCCAGTAAGTTTCAGTGGTGACGGTGGGGTGAGCAGAACGTGGTTGCGACAAAGGGAAGCTGGAGAGATTTTTAGCTCTTCTTTTAGGGAGGTCTTCACAGAGCACTTTCTTTCTTTGTGCATTCCTGTAACACCAGATAGACCGATATTTCAGTGTAAGTATAAAGAATATGTTCCAGAGCTAAAGACAAATAGTTTTCATATTCTCTGTTGTTGTGCATCATTAGTGGCCCTGCTTCTTTCAATGAACATGGATAATTGGAACTTTGCTATAGTTGGTTTTGCACAGTGTTTTTCTTAATGCTTTGAATTTGACTGTATTGTTTTGTTCATTCATTCACTCACCTGCTCTTCCATTCATCCAGAAAGTATTTGTGGAACACCTATTCTGTGGTATGTTCTGCAGGAACTTATAATCCAGTAGGTGTCTAACCTGAACAAAAATGATACATTTCCAGACAGTAAAGACATAGCACTTGAGTGCTATGCCTTCAATGCTAGATGGCAAGTGCTTTATGATTTAAGGAAAATGAACATATTTCTAATTGAATGACTTTAGAGACAGTTCCTAGAGAAGACCACCTCTGGGTGGGGCCTTGATGGAAGGGTAGGCTTCCATCAAGGTAGAGGTGAAGTAGTGTATTCTAGGTGGAGGGATGGCTGGGAGGAAGGATTTTGTGGAGAATTCATGAAATATGAGGTTGGAAACCAAAATAAGAATTATCATTTATTAATCCTTTTTTATTAGATAAATTTATGGGCACTTTATAATAGAATATTACATTTAATCTTGTGAATATTATTATAAAGCAAGTATTATAATCCAGCTGGAAAGAAGAGAAACCAGAGGTTCAGTGATGAGGCCAGGTCAAGATTTAAACCCAGTCCCAGATCCTGATACCTTTCTGTCCCACATTGAGGAGCTCTTAGACTCTGGGAGGCTCAATCACCAAGCTAATGAGTTTACTACTCATTTTGGCACCCTGATATCTTCATGTGTGACTGTTCCCATTTCCAGGTGAGGACCTGAGGTTCAGAAAGAAGCCGTGGTCCCATAAAACACTGGGGATCCTGAGTTCAGCTAGAGCATGGGTTGTCTCTTGTCAGCAAATGACATCAGAGTCCCTAACCAACTCAACCTTCTCTATTTTCCAGGTCAAGTCTCTGCTCCTGGTGGTGTTGGGGCTCACCTTCCTGAGGGAGGGGGCAGCTCGAAAAAACCCAAAAGCAGGGGATGCTGCCCTGTGCCCTCCTCTGGAGGATAACAGTGTGAGGGTTGACATCCGCATCCTCAGGCAAAACCAGGGTATTTCCATCTCAAATGATTTTCAGAACCGCTCCAGCTCCCCTTGGGATTACAAGTAAGTGTAAATGAGAATGATCTTCACATTCTTTTGAAAAATATGTTAATTTATTCTAATGTAAAAAATTTAGAAAATACAGAAAAAAATAAAAGCCCTAATATTTACTCTTAAAAACAGAAATCCCAACTTTGCCTGGGAGCTCACATTTTTTCCTGCTGTTTTGGGCTAGGTCCTCCTGTGTGGTCAGAGGTCCTGCTATTTTGCTTCCAACTTCTCACTGACTCTCTGCCTTTTCCTGCTTCATGATGCCCTAGGTTGGAATTGACAAGCTTTCTGTGCTGGAAGAGAGGGCTCTTTAAAGCAGCCCATATAATGATCTCTGCATGGGGTTAAGTGGGAGCCAGAAAAGTCAGTGTGGAGTGATCCACTCAGATTAGACATCAGTCTTCAAGGAATGAGGAGGAGGGCAGAGTAGACAAGAAAGGCCAGTTTGGGAAAGGGGATGCATGATGGGGATGGGATGTTCAGGGTACTGTCCTGTGATATTGTCTGATGTGTCGGATCTTGGAATACTAAGCATTCATCTATATGCTCCAGATAGAAGCCTGAGAACAGATTCCAGGGACAATTAGAAGTGCTTCTGGGGCTCCTGTATGGCTTCCTAGAGGAAGGGAGTATGTATGGTGGTGGCAAGTTGGCTGGCATGATTTTGCTGCCTTTGTACCTCCTGGCAGAGGGGGCTTTGAAGGAAGAAACAGGGAATGTGCTGGATTCACAGACTGCTGGGGCTTTGGCTTTCCTTTCCAAGCAGCAGGCTTTGTAGATTTTATATTAGGAGACCTACTAGTGATATTTTATATATCTAGGCAAAGGATGAATAATAATTGAAATAATAACAACAGTGTGAGGAAAAATAAAAGAGCTGACATTTATTGAATGCCAACATGTAGCCTTTTGTGTGCATTTGTATCACTGAATATCCTCAGAAGTCCGATGAGAGAGACCTGTGAGAATCCCCATTTTAGAGTGGAGGAAACAGGCTTAGGCAGTTAAGCACCTGCCTGGAGGGCTGTGGATGAATCCAGGCCATCTGGCTGCAGCCCTGGGTTGCTGGGAAATGCCTCCCTGCCCAGTGGCGCGGGGCGCTCACATTTGTCCATCTCCCTCTCCCTTGTCTCACCATCTGCTTTTGTCCGCTCCCCCTGCAGCATCACCCGGGACCCCCACCGGTTCCCCTCGGAGATTGCAGAGGCCCAGTGCAGGTATTCGGGCTGCATCAATGCCGAGGGGCAGGAAGACAGCTCCATGAATTCTGTTCCCATCCAGCAGGAGTTCCTGGTCCTGCGGAGGGAGCCCCGGGGCTGCACTCGCTCCTTCCGGCTGGAGAAAGTGCTGGTGACGGTGGGCTGCACCTGTGTCACCCCCATCGTGCGCTATGTGCACGCCTGAACGTCCGCTTGGCTGAAGAAGCCCTGAAATACCACTCCCGGAGCTCTGCAGCTAGTCCTCTGTGGTCCCAATTCTCTCCACTTCGTCGGCCTCTTGATAAGACTGGGCGGAATTCTCAGAGCTCTGTATTAGATAGAGTGTCAACTTTCTGGGGGCGCTTCCAGATCATAACCTAGTCCTGAGCTGTTCCACTGTCCCAAACCCTTGAAAATGGACGGAGGAGAAGGAAGGTGCGCATAGCCCTGCCGTCGCTGTGATTGGTGCCATTCCCGGGGAATTCTGTTGCAAATTCTGTTCCGTGTGGATGAAGATGCAGAAAATGTAACCACAGTATGAGTGTGTGGGAGGGGGTGAGGGGTGGGGTGGGGTGGGAGGGATGGGGTAAGGCTCTAGTACACAACCTTATTAAGATTTACTCAGTAGAGGTTGGCCTGATGCTCCTATTTTTAAGGAAACTGTCCATCTGTTTATGATGTATTTTTATATAAAATTTTAGGAGAAAAATTAATATATCAAGTATTAATATAATAAAGTATTAATGATTGAAAAATACTTCAGGTGTTTCTTTCCAGTCTTGGCTTGTATTCACAGAGCTTGGAACCCTGAAGATTGTGAAATTCTAAATACTTGTCATTTGTTTTTCGTATTTTCTCATAAGTTCCTCATTAGAGGACTACTGTTAGTGTTATTTTATTATTATTATTATCATCATTACTGTGTGTGTGTGTGTGTGTATGTGTGTGATCTTGGGGACTTGTTTCCTCAGCTTCACTGAGATAAATTGGCAAATAATATTATGTAAGTTTATAGTGTACAGCATGATGACTGTCTTTCTAGATATAGTGAAATGAGCACCACAATAAGGTAGTTAACACTTGCATCACCTCACATTTTTACGTGTGTGTGTGTGTGTGTGTGTGTGTGTGTAGTGAGAACATTTAAGATCTACTCAGCAAATTTCAAGTATACAATACAGTATTGGTAACTATAGTCACCATGCTATACATTAAATCCCCAGGACTTATTCATCTTATAAATAATTTTGTACCCTTTGACCAACATCTCCCCATTTCTCCACCCCCAGCCCCCAGCTTCTGGCAACTACTGTTCTCTCTGTTTCTATGAGATAGTTATTTTATTATTAATGGTACTTGGGAGTTACATGGAGAATTAAGGAAAATGGCGTCGACAGAACTCAGTTTCTCTGGTAACTCTTCACTGCTCCATGGTCCTGGCTACATTATATTACAAAGTGAACATTTACTGGCCACTGTGCTAGTCAGCAGAGATACAGAGACAAGTAAGAAATGCATATGGAAGGACCACAGTGTTGGGACTGGCCATCCACGAGCCCCTGGTCACTGGGACCATGCAATCCCTTTGCATTGGCCTTGTTCTGACTTCTGGGACTTTTAGGGTTACTGGTTGTGTTTTATCAATATCTTATGCTTCTTGGGGGCTCAGGAGCTTCCAGATTCTGGTCTTCATGCCACTCTGGGGAAAACTCAGAGGTTCTCTCAACCCTCCCTTGTTTCTATATGGCACAGCACATTTTCTCCTTAATGCTACCACAGGCTTAGTATACCTCTGCATTGCCGCTGCTTTCCACGTCCGAGGGAGGAAGTGGGGCGTAAGTTCTCACTCCCACCTGAAACTTGGCTTGAGGATAGGCAGGCGGCAGAAGCCTGACACCCATTTTTAACTCTAGTGTGGGCAACTTTTTTCTAGTCTAGGTGGGAGTGGGAATGGAATAGCTGGGTGGGCTGGCTCTTCATCTCTTGGCTGCAGAATCTTTTGTTTATGGTATAACTATTGATATTTAAATATTCAGACTCTTGAAGTCTAGAAAACATTTTCTGTCGTAGCTATCAGCTTCGTAAGTTTGCTGTGAATCTCACAAGTCCATTTTCGTGCTCAGATTTGTACAATGAATCCTTCTTTCTGTTGATGTTGGCAATAATTGCCCTCTCCTGTGGTAGGTTCATATCGTTAGAGCTGGATGGGCCCCTGCAGATCACCTGGTCAACCTTTCGCATTGGCAGATGAGGCCCAGAGGAATTAGGTGACTTGCTCAAGGTCGTGTGAAGTAGTTAGTGGCACAAAGGGGCTCGTGACTCCCAAGTTCATAATTTTTTCTGTTGGGTTTACAGCACTCGATAATGTTTCCGGTAAATACCCGTATCAGTCATTTCTCTGTGCAGCCTGGGAGCAGGTACAGAAGTACCTGCACCTCGCATACCTCCAACTACGTTGCACCTGGTGCCCCCTGGGGCCTGGGGCCTGAGTTACAGCTTGCTCTGAGGGCTGGCTGTCATTCAGGAAATTGCACCCTGTCTCTGGCTCACAAGGTGGCACACTGTGCCCATGGGTCAGTGGCTCCCTTAGGGGGGAGTCTGTCTTTGGCAGCCACTGGAGACACTGCTGAGGTGGAATGAGCAGCCTGTGTTCTTCAGCGCTGAGCCTAGCTTCCTGGGACTCAGAGGTCCTTTGTTTTGAATGCAGGAGAAATGGCCTATGTTGAGCAGTCCAGATTTTCGAATACCGCATTGCCATCATAATGTGTAGAGGGACGGACTTCTCTTTCCACATGGAACTGGAAGCATGTAGTCTTTACTTTTGATACCCAGTTCTTATATATGACAGCTTGGCTGAGGGGAAGTACATATTCTCTCTCTCTGTCTCTCCTTCCCTCTTCTTCTCCCCCTCCCCCCGCTACTCCCACATCCAGATAAAAAATCATCTATGTTTGTAATGCTCCATGGGAGAAATTTCACTTGTAATTTACAGTGAGGAAAATGGTTATGAAATTAGTTTTCCTTTAATTTTCTTTCTTTTTTTTTTCTTTTCTAGTAGAAGAAGTGGTAGAAAAAATGCATTTAATACTTAGCTTTTGGCTTCAAATCCTGGTTCTACCCTTTTCTGGTTATATGAATTTAGGCAATTTAGTCCTTCTGAGACTCAGCTTCTTCATTTGTTAAATAGGGAATGATATCTGTTTTCAAGAGTAGAGTGTAAAGTAATCGAAATAAAAAAAAGTAAAAGACTTAATACAGTACCCAGGAAATGATAGGTACTTAGTATGTGGTAGTCCTTATCCCAGGAAGTACAGAACTTATGTTTCCCGTTTGCTTGGCCCCAGGAAACTCATAGCCAACTTTTCTGCTTAAATACCACAGCTATATTATTTCCTCATGGTTATTAAGTTTACGGTCTCCATTTAATCTCTATATACACACACATAGGTAATTCAAGGTGGTTTAAACAAAAGATCTATACATTGTTAATATTATTATATAGATCTTTTGTTTAATCCACTTTAATTTGACAGGAATAGAGGAAGCTATAGATTTAAGACATTAAAAAAAATTCCCCTGGGTCCCCAAATGTTCATTGTAGTCTACTCCACTGATATAAATTGGAAGAAAGGCATTTTTTTGGGTCCAATAAGCCCCAGGAGTTGTACATGTTCAGCTGGACTTCCCTCAGGGTACAAAAGAACACACATTTTCTCCAACACTGAGATGTTCTCTTCGGCACCCTGTTTGGTGCCAAGAGAATCGCTGAAAAAGTGGTAGCTTCTGAACCTTGTTTGTACCTCTCTTAAGTGTCATAAAAGACTAGAAAAACCCAATCCTTCCTCCTTACAGAGTACCCAAGAAAAGAGAATTCCTTCAGTTAGTGAGAGAAATCAGAAGTGGGGTTTTGGCCCAATGGTAGTGAGGAGAAACATTTATGTATAGAAGATTTTCCTTCATTTGTTTCTTATGTTTGTGAATAGGGCAATCAAGGAGGTTGCACTTACCAAGTCATAACTCTGCATCTTCTTATGTTCGCCGTAGGATTTAATTGCATTTGCAACAGAACCTTAGTTTTCTCTTTTTAAAAGATTTAGAGAGAGTGTGTGCACACATGTGTGAGCAGGGGGAGGGGCAGAGGGAGAGGAGGAAGAGAATCTCAAGCAGACTCCCTGCTGAGCATGGAGCCTGATGTAAGGCTTGATTTCATGACCCTGAGATCATGACCTGAGCTGAAACCAAGAGTTGGATGCTCAACCGACTGAGCCACCTAGGTGCCCTGACAGAACTTTCCTTTTCATGTCTGGAGTACTAATGTGGTCCTGGGGGCTAAACTCAATAACAGTTCCATAGAGGGTTAATAAACACACCAGTAGCAGTTCATATATACTGAGTATTGACTATGTGTGTCAGACACTGTGCTATTTTATATGCATCTTAGTCTTCACATGGCATGAGTTCGGAAAGATGATTATCCCCATTTTACAGATGAGGCAACTGAGGGATTAATTACTTGCCCAGGGTCACAAGAGCTAGTAAATATTAGCCTCAAGGTTTAAACTTGCATCTCTTGGACTGAAGACCCCCTATTGCCTGGTCATCTCATCAGTCCATCTGTGTAAAGTTGGACAAGTTACCTAGTATGTACTTCTTCACTGGATTTTTTCTGTCAAAAATTAAGAATGATTACGTTTCTTACATAGGTCACTGGAGGTTCTTAAGATTAACTCTTGATTTACGAAGAACATTGGAGATCCACTACTCACTGCCTTTCCAGAAACACATATCTATTTACTAGTACCAGATGCATGAACTTGGTCTTGTAAGTTTATAATAGAGACTATGTGAAGTGTGTGCTTTAAAAACTGTGATGTACTGGGGCGCCCGGGTGGCTCAGCGGGTTAAACGTCAGACTCTTGATTTTTTTTTTTTTTTTTAAAGATTTTATTTATTTATTTGACAGAGAGACACAGCGAGAGAGGGAACACAAGCAGGGGGAGTGGGAGAGGGAGAAGCAGGCTCCCCGCAGAGCAGGGAGCCCGATGCGGGACTCGATCCCAGGACCCTGGGATCATGACCTGAGCCGAAGGCAGACGCTTAACCATCTGAGCCACCCAGGTGCCCCAGACTCTTGATTTCTGACTCATGATCTCAGGGTTGTGAGACAGGCTCCGCACGGGGTATGGAGCCTGCTTAAGATTCCCTCTCTCCCTCTGCTCCTCCTGACCCTAAAAAAAAATTTAAAAACTGTGATGTGCTGCTGTCTCACAGTACTTAGTGGGTGCTGATTTTGAGAATTTTGCTCAGCAGTGAAAAGAACATACGTTGAAACTAAGATTAAATTTTTAAAAAGAAAGACTCCAATTTGAGCATGAAGACGTTCTTGCCAGCAAAATGGCCATCTCTTCTCTTAAAATGCACAAACATCGTAGCAGTATCAGATCACAGAGTAATGACCGAGAACATGGACAACGGGGCCAGATGCCAGGTAAAAACGCCAGCTTCAGCACTTACTAGCTGTGCCATCACTCGTGATCTTGGCCAAATCACCTAACCGCTCTGTGCCTCCCTTTTCTCTACTGTAAAATGGGGATGATAGCACTACTTACTTCAGAGGGTTGTTGAGAGGCTGGAATAAGATAATATAGATAATATAGATAAGATATAATAGATAAGATAATATAGATAAGATGCTAAGACTAGTGCCTGGCATGGAACGTGTATTGTCCAGTATGTTATTAAAAAAAAGAAAAGTCG